TACATCCTGACTCAGGTATTTATTTGTTCACGTGTATACACATTCACACAGGTAAGACATGCTGACTTGAAAATAATTTACTGCATGCAGATTTGATGGGTGGAGCTCTTTTAAAGAAAAAAAAAAGATAACCTTTATCTACATCTCCAATAAATGAATCAAACAGTACCTCCTTTAAGAGTAAAAGCTGACTCTCACCCCTTCTCACTGTTTTTGAAAGTGTACTGTAGTCACTCTGGCACCTCCACACCTAGATGATATAAGCTTCCAAATCACTTAGGAAATACACAGCTACTCTCAACCAGAAAACTCTATGTCACCGGTTTCTTTTAGCCTCTCATCTTTTACCTACATCACTGTTTGTACCTGTGCCACCCTCACTGACCATTTACTGCTTGCAGTTATATTTACGACTTGTCCTTTAGAAATCAAAAGCCACAGATAAAACCTCCATCTTTTCTCAGGAACATCAGTAAATGAGCACTGCCAGAATCAAAAAGTAACACAGTAGGTAAAATACCTGCATCCTTTGCTACCTTTGCTACAGATGATTTATTAAGTTTGACTTCAGTGGCATGAAAGTTTTTTCTACCACTTACATGCCCATCACTGCTGCTGTCACCTTGGCTATTGGGGGACTAGTAGGAACAATCGGGCAACACCACCACAGCCCCAGTACAGCAGCTCAGAGGAGGAACGGGCTCAGGATGGTGCCTGTGGGGTGAAATGGAGCGCCAAACACCCCTGACACCACTCAACACCTCCATCTTACCCCAAACCTTCTCTCCTGCTGACGGAAAATTCAAGTTTGCCTTACTGTAGAGAAATCACATGCAGGTGCTGAGCATTCAAATTTGGATTCTCATACCATCCATATTAATCTGACAATGCAGAGCAAAGCTGGGATTTGCTGAAGACCGTGGGCAGTCTCTGAAGAGCTGATTAGGTCTGAAAATCTTTTATTGCAGATGATTAAAAAAATCTAGCCTGACTTTTATTCTGCGCTGAGTTTAATGTTGACAGGGGAATAGTCTACATTACTTGTAAAATGACAACAGAAAAATTCATGCTTAGATACTACAAATGAGTTAGGGTCTTATTAGACCTGCCCTGATAATTAGGTATATTTTAAAGCCACAATTATTTTCTTAATATATATTTATTTTCCAGAACCGATAAAACAGATGTATCAGTACTGTGCAAATCACATTCCACCAGGTTAAAAAAACCCCAAACACACAACTGAAATATCGATGATGATAACTAAGAATATTCTTTCCCTTAAGGCAAGTTAAGAGGTAGGTACTCCTGCTGTTTTTTAAAACAATTTCTAATGAATTCGTACTAAATACTTTGTGACACCACTTAATGTCAAAGCCAGCTCCAAGTAAATCCAGATTTGCTAGTAGTACAAAACATCTAAACAGGCTGGCTCAGTCAGAAAAAGAAAAAAAAGCCACTTATGCCTGCTAGTTTTCTCTACCATTTTTTAAAAAATTTATTTTATAAGTAAAAACTATTAGCCATTAGTTTGAAATAAAATACCAACTTTCAAAAACTATTTTAAAAGCTTTCTTCCATAGTTGGCTAACTTTTACGGCCATTGTATTCACTAAATGACTAAGGGTAGCTTCATTTTTAGTCTTCATAAAAATCAAAGAAATGCAACAGCTGATTTTGAAGAACATTATCTTGACATTATTGTCATATGCAATTTATGTCTGTTAAAATGGTAATAACCAGGATACCATATGCAGTTATTTTGATCTCTGATGTATGTGCATCAATATGTGCATCAATTTGTCCACACAAGTAGATGCGATCCCCACATCTTTCAAATATAAAGCACTGAAAACAATACAAAAAAATCCATATAAATACATGAGGAAATCACAAGAAAGGAATCCGGGAGATATGAGCTCTTTAGTCAGGTTTTTTATTCTACCATTCTCACACCACCTAGAGATGGCCATTATTACCCACCATACAAAACAGCACACAAGTTTATCCATGTTCAATTCCGACGTTTATCTGATCAAGTGATAGTGTCAGAAATGTTAGAAAAGGAGAGTTCAGAGGGGTTTGGGTTTTTTTTTTTTTAAATGAAGAAGTGAAATAATTTTGGTTTAGGAAATGTTGATTCCACAGGACTAAGAACTGCTATACATTAATCAGTTTCTGAACCATTTTGTTTCCTTCAGCATCTCAGTGATAGCTTATTCTTTATAATTTAGACACATTAAATCCAGGGATTATAAAATGAAGCTTCTATCAGAATGGGCAAATACTTTGTCGAGATCAAAATATCCTGTTGCAAGACAACAGATACTATTAAATAAAAGCTGCACAAAAAACAAGTTAAAAAGTGATTCTTTGGCACCAATAAACAACTTTTTTTTCTATCCTCACTAACCCAGTTATGACAAAATTTCCATGGAATAAAAATCAATCTCCCTGCCCAGTTTCATTGATCCTTAACATCCTGTTCTGCAGACTTTTCTCAAAGGTCAATATGATAAACTTCCTAGGAGCAAATAAGTACTGGTTCAAGGGGCAGGGACAAGTCCATAAGACTCTTGACTAAAAAACTTAATATTTTAGATTTCTACTGTGGCAATCAAAAAATAGCACAGTTTCAGCAGTCACGCACAGCCAGTTTTCCCCACTCTCCACTAGCAGATCACTCTGAAGCGACTCCACTCATGATATGGGCAGAGTGTTTCCTTTTGAATTATTTGCTGCTGACTGCTGAGGATGAAGGGAGAGGGTGTTTCCTATCTCCCTGGTTCCCAAGTCCACTAGGGAGAGCAACAGAGAATCTTCTCCAGCTAAGCAGCATCTCCTGAACCCCCTGAAATGCTGAATGCAATTCAGACCCCTTTACGTGCAGGAAAGTTTTACTGATTTGGTGGTGGCACTCCAGCAGTACAAGTACTTTATTCAGGAAGAAATACTAGTAAAATAAGCTAATACCTTTGTGTAATATATCATGTAAACATAACCCTTGCAGGCTTCTAATGCCACCCAGAAACTTTGCCCACGTTGGTCTCAATTTCCATTCTGTAATCTCCAAATTATTACACCTAACATATGGAAGAATAAGACATTCATGAAACATGAAGTACTACAACAGGGAGTTCTACATTTTATACTTCTACAATGCTACTAGAGAAATAGGCCCTTGCTTAGGCATAGCAGTTCAAGTCCAGAAGATGATCAGGTGATGCAGGTACAAGTCTGGTTAACCTTGCACATCCCTCAACTTCACAGGTGTCACAGCTTGTTACCTTTATAACAACTTCCTGGCTTAGAAGACATCTACATGCCTGCAGCGACACTTCAGGTTTGTCAGGATCCCTGGTCAGGCTCTTTCCTGGCAGTTAAGATATTTTACATGGAAATAGAGCTCAAAGTTTGACTCCTTCAGCCAGTGGAGGGAAGGCAGCCTACGCCTCTAACATTCCATGGAAAGGCTTTTCCTAGCAAGATTAACGTAACAAGATACAAAGGGTGGAGAGCAGGCCCTACCACTATGTCATCTTTCTCCAGCTGGGTGCCAAACACTAGGAGTACACCCAGATGTATCTTTTCAGGAGAGCGTAGGTGCCTGCCACAAACAGAACTGTCCTAGGCCATGCATTTTTGAAAGAAGTTCTACAGCAAGACACTAGAAATTCCCACTTGCCTTTACCAATCAGTCTAACACATATGTGTGCTGACTGTACTGCTTCTTATTCAGCAGATTTGTGATTAACATGTTGGCTGGTTGGGACGGTGTTCTAATGTGCCTGTGCTCTGTGGAAGGAGCTTAACACACACCTCAGGCTCCATTCTGCAAGCAGAGCACTCAAAATTGGGACCAACATCTCTTAATACCCTCCTTCAAATTGTCCAAGACTAAATATTCTGCAGCGCTATTAACTACCATTGTTCATTACCTACCTGATGATACTGCTGTCTTTCATATACTTTAATCAAACAACAGTCCAGATTTTCAGCTGTTACAAACTACCTTAAATGCCTCCAAGTTCAGTAGTACCTGACTGATACCTATCACCTGAAGGGAATTTACTTACCTTTGTGTGTTAGCACTTTTTTACAAGGGGATAGAGCAGGACTGTCCTTACAGAAACACTGCTTTAGCATTTCTGTCCTTGGGTGGTGAATAAATTACCATGTAGCATATTTAGCGAAGCTACAGTTGATTTGTGTGAAAGCACTGCCATCAGCTTTTAATGTGCACAGCACATTCTCTCTGAACTCTTCTCCCTGAGGATTATTCTCCTTAATATGCCAAACACTAACAATTAAAAATTAAACCTGTCTGGCAGAACATCTTTGGCTTTTATTGTCCTCAGTGTATCATCTGGTCACCAGTGTTCATCAACTCCTGATTACAAAAATTGATATTCCCCTTCAGAATAGCTAACAAGTCAAAAATATTTGCCCAGTTCTGTCAATCAAGTGCCTCACCAGGGAACAGCAATAAAAGCCAGTGGCAGAAATAAACTTTATACCCACAGCAAGTGCACATCTAGTAGGGCTGGCTAGTGAGCTGCACAGTTCCACACGACCCTGTGATGTCTCAGACTGGAAATGCACAATGACTGCAAAATCAAGAAAGAGACAGTCTTACACAATCTTACAAAGTTGTGTTTTGTTTCCTCTTTAAGCTGCAGAACTGTACCAAAGACAGGCACAGCTTCCCTTCCTGCCTGTTCCTCTTATTCATCTCTACTGTGAAGTCGGATAAGGAGCTTTCCAAAAATCTTCATGACAGAAAGGAGCTGTATCATTGATTTGCCAGCTTCAGGAACAATCATTGTAAACGCAGCCTCTGTCCAGAAGGACAAAGGACAGGCTGACATAAAAAATGTATGAGTTACTGCTCTGTGAAACTCATAATAATCACCTTTGTTGTTGAGAGAGTTAGGTTACTTATGAGGGTTAAAGATTTTTCCCTCTTGGGTGTAGAGTATTAATAGAACCTTTTTGCTTACCGGAGGATCTTGATCCTCAGCTGAAACGGTGGTGATAACAGTGCCCTTGACCGCATCAGGAGCAACCATTCCCCTGTAGAGTGTTTTGCTAAATACTGGAGAGTAATCATTCATATCCTGCAAAACATAATTAAGAGTTGAGTTCTGAAGTTCAAACAAAATTATAGATGCATTCAAAATTGTTTTTTTCAAACTCTACCCAATCACTCCTTCCTCATTAGGAAGCCTATTTACCATTCACAGTCTCTCTCAGTCTCAATTCTATTACCACCGCACAAAACTAGCACACAAGGGGAAGGTACCAAAGTTTAAAAAACAATTATTAACATGAGACAGATCAACAGAAGGACATTCTGCAGAAAAACACACAGTCTCACAAGTAAACAAAGAAGACATTTCCATGACACCTGCTTCTCAAGCAGTGGCTCACAACACGGCTTTGCTAATTTTCTAAAATGAATGAGCTGCTGTTGCTTGACAGTGTTTGTTACCTCTAATATGCAATAAATTAAGAGAAAAATATAATAAAATATGATAGTATCAACACCTCATGAGAGCCTAAGATGGTGTTCTTCAAACTGATGTGTACAGTGTCAAAAAGCAGCTTCCAAGGCCCAATTTAATGGACATAGTACTGCGTGTATGCACTTCTATATACTTTCATACCTGTGTATGTGTGCACAGCCATACACGTATATGTACATTCATGGGCACCTCCTTGTGTGAAAGATGCAGCCTCACCCAAACACCAGGCTGCGCGGGACTGCGTGAGCTGGTGCAAAGGTAGATGCAGCATCTGCATTTACGAGGCTTTAAGTGACATGTTGCCCCGTGCATCAGGAGTGGTGAACATTCATAAACTCAACCAGCATCCCAGGTTATTAAAAAGGTTTCCATTCTGACTGTCATAAATTGTCAGAAAATAATTTTTTGTCGAAGTTCGCTCACAGAGAGTTCTAGAAAATTTATCTGTATGTTCCTTTAAAAAAAAATGAATGTATCTCTATAAATCACAATCTTTATTCTATTAATAAAACTAATTTCCAGTTTTCTTCTGTAGAGCCACCTTCCCAGCTTGAATTCTACTGAGAACAGATTTATTAATTTTTGCATACTGCTATTTCCATTGCTTTGCGCACACGGGTAACACGGATGAAACTTTCAGGGCTTTTTTGCAGAATAAATAAGCAGCATCAGATGCCTTCAGCACACAAGAGTGACTTTACTGATCCACAAATGAAGAGTAGCCTTAAAGTGGAACGTGTGCTCGAGCTCTGGTGGAAGACAGGTGCCAACCACCTCTTAGGTGACCCACCCAGACACAGCTACTCAAAGGTTATCCACCGATGCCTCTGCCTGTCGTCACAGCTCTTCATGACGTAAATGAAAATGCTGATACTGGCTAGCATGCTATATTATGCAATCATTTAAAACATTAATCCATATTTCATCAGAGGAAACGACAGTATAATAAACTTCTCTATAACAAAAAAAGACTGTTACAAGCCCACATAGTAAATGCCTGAATAATCAATGCATTGAGTTCGGCTGAAAGGTTTGCAATTCAAGTCTACAAGGCATTGGAAATGCTTTTTCTCTGATTTTCAGATTTTCAAAGAGACAACTGGATCATCAAAAAGTGACTGCTAGGCAATTCAAACTAGGAGTGCATTCAAATGAAAACATTTTCGAAAAACATTAAAAGTCAGACAGATTAGCATTTTTGCACAAAATTATAGGCATTGAATCTTATAATTTCAGTTTCTTGACCAGTTTGCAAGAAAATAATTTACTTTATGTGAGAATTCAATACCCAGGACTATTTTACATAAACAATCTTGTTTCTCACGACTCTCAAAGTGACATGGTGCTTGTAAAATAAGCTATCCTTTGTCCCATTTTGATCCCAGAAACTCTGTTCCAGACCCGTATATTGCTGTGGCAGAGAAACCAACATCATACAGCAATTTCACACTGTGAGACTCCATTCACAGCCATTCTACCTCAAAGAAAAGACAGAGAACTACTTAATTTGAAGATGACACGAAGTAGCTTTGAGTACAGAAATCCTAGGTATTTTGGAATGGAATATTAAAAAAAATAATCATAGGTCTTACAACTGTGCAAATCAGGAACTGTTTTGGTTCGTAGACCCTGAAAGTTTTCCAGGTGGATACCACCCTTTACAAACTGCATATACACTGAGAAGACACACTCTGTCCTATGAAGTTTCCATCTGGGGTAATGACCCAATGGTACATTTATTATACCTCTTGTTTTTGTGGTGTTTTTTTGTTTGTTTGTTTGTTTTGGGGTTTTGTTTTTGTTTTTGGTTTTTTTTGTTGTTGTTTTTTTTTTTTTTGCAGCTTCTGCTTCCCATGATCTGGATGCTTAGGGTCACCTCCATGAAGCAGGTGGAATTTTTGGAAAAACCTGGCCTTTTGTCTGTATTTATTGATTTATTTTGAATCCATCTCTCTCTGTGCACCTGCAAATCCACAGCCACATCTGCTCTTTTTTTCTCTGGCATAGGAGCACGAGATCACATTACTGTTTGCTCACTGGGGGATGCGGAGAATCACCATGTGATGTTTTTGTTATCTTCTGAATACCTTTATGTGACCTTAGTGCCTGAAAGTCTGTGACTTAAGGTACTGGAAAGTGTAATCCTGTTTTGAGATGATACACTACATCCTCTGCTATAGAAAGTGACTAAGTCATCCTATTTAACGCGCCTGTTTTTCAAGATACATGTATCAGTACAAAATACACAGGAATACAAAGCAAAGCACAAAGTGGGGCAGAAAACCTTCTGCCTCTCTGACTTATCTTTCCTCTTAGACAAGGCTTTATGCCTGATTGTGCCTCATAAACCCTAGCTGAGCCTACTGAAGAGGCACCAAATGTTTCAGTCAGAACTAGACAGAACAGCTCCATGTGCTTTTCTTCCTGGCTCATCTCTTCCTGAATCCTAAAGCAGCTGCTAACTTTTTTATAGCAGGGTTCAAGCTGGAATGTTTCCACTTTTATCAAAATAAAAGTTCCTCATACAAATCACCCTAAGTCTTCTCATGAAGCAGTTGCAGTAAGTGCACTTCCAAGAGAGCAGGACCATCATTACAGACAGGTGATCAAATCTCATGTGCTCATTGCAAATGTCTACTATGAACTGCTAGAAGCAGAATGGGCATTTTTGCAGGCAGCTAAAGATGCAGATGACATGGAAATGGGTTCTTCTGGTTGAAATTACTCTTCTGAGCAACTCCCAATAGAGTACACACAGATGTTGTTAGAGACATGTTGGAGAAATTAATATATTATTATCTACTTCAACTGGTATAATTTCTCTTTACATATTATGGGCACTTAAAGGTACCAAAAAGGTCACAAAAAGAAAGTATTGATTTTTTAGCAAAAAGCACCGCCACCATGGAGAGAATACTGTCTAGATTTGATTTTGCTAGAGCATAGAAATAAAGCACGCTCTGTATTCTCTGTGAATAGCTCAAGAGATCGGGCGCATGATCCACATCATCCCACTCCCAAAACCTACACCCCTGTAGCCAAGGTTCCCAATTCAATTTTCTTCATCGAAGTGGACTTCTCAGTAAGTAGCATTCAGCACTCCCCAACAGATGCAGAAACACACATTTGAGACAAAATGATAACATTATAGAGAAAGTACTGGGCTTCTGTCATTACTGGAGACCAAGGACAAGACAGAGATGTTTTTGCACAGCTAAATAGCTGAAGATTATACTTGATGGCTTCTCCTTAAAACACCACTAAAACTGACTTTGCATAGAAATGGATGTGGCACATGAGTGCGATCCCTTACCACAGGTTACGAATAAGGTAGTAACCTTCCACAAAGTGGTAGTAAGTAGTAGTGTAATCACCTTTTAAATCTGGGGCGTAATGCTACACATGCTCTTGTGGCCAAAGTGCAGCATCCTACAACTCTTCACAGTTCATTGCTTCAGCTACATAAATCCAGGCTGATATTAACTATCAGACACACATAAAACTATGTAAATGGAAAAGATAGGTAGTTAATTCTCTATATATATCTCACTTGAAAATCCTTGGGCTGTGTATTTTGACAGTAAGGTAATAGCAGCCATGTATTTATACATAAATACAAACCAGCCTTCGTGTCACTGCTCATCTAGCTGCAGATTTATTATATTTTGATACATCTTTGTTTACAAAACAGAGTGAAAGTCATAAAATCCCCAAAAGCTTTCTTCCTGTCATAGATGCTCTTTACCTCTTGTTTGGTTTCACATTGCTCCTACTGGGCAGCACATAAAAGCAGAAACAGACATATTTTCCCTTGCACAAAGATTAAGAACCAAGCATGAAGGGAGCACAACATGGGAAGTATGCTCAAATACTATAGTTCTTGAGAATCCACATTAGTACCTTCAAAAGCAAGTGAAGATGTATTAAGAGTTTTCCTGATGCGAACTCATTTGTTAACTCAGAGTTATCCTTAGCATGTATATAATCCCACTTCCTGACTAACTTCCTTATCCTCTGAACAAGACCCATCTCATTCACAAGATTTAAGGGGTTGTTATTTACCAAAAGGTGTGTAGGAAACAAATATTGACCTGTCTGCAAAGATGATGAAAATAGTGAACAAAAATGCTGGTGAACAAAGATAGTCATCTAGGAATGCCAATGAGGAGAAACAAAGCACGGGGGAGGAAAGGCATTAAGAAGAGAATCAATACGTAATTTAAAAATCATCAAGACAGTCACTAGCTGTAACACACTGATACTAAACTAGGTGCTCCTAGACAGGTGACCGCTGCCGACATGGGAGGGCAATACACAACTAGAACAGAAGAAAAACACCTGCAGTACAGCATTGCCAGCATAAAATTAACCTCTAAACTGAAATGGACTTCAGAGACATTAATATATTTTTGATTTATAGGGACACCAAGAGAACTTCAATGCTTGTACTCCACTAGGTTAAGAATACAAGCATTTAACATCTGGGTGAAATAATCGCCTCTTCCTCCTCATTCACTAATCTGCGAAACACACAAATTGGATTCACATGTCTGCTTTCTTCCTTGCACCATCCCTGCCCCTTAACTTCACCT